ATTTTAATTAATTTCAGCCCTTTTTCTTTGACATCTAACTTAAGACTTTAAACCATAGAAACAGTATGATAGAAAACAAATGTAGAGCTGAGAATAATAATTTTACATTTTTTCTATTAGTTTTAAGTATTTAAAGAAACAATTATTGAAATAAAACATTTTGCAAGTATTTACACTTTACAAGTGTCTTTTTATTTGACCCTTTATGACTAAAACATTGTTTGGTGAGCAGATGGACCCCTCAATAGTTCAGCGTCAATGCAAATGTAAGCCTGCTACCTAATTTACCTGAATTTATTTTTGGTCAGAAGTTCACTCGCTGTTCTGCAGACGTGACTTTAAACGCGTCCATGTTGAATGGGTCTGACTTAGCAAACAATCGAACCGTTCTATACAAGAAAATGTTATTCCAGATAGATTTTGTGGATACTCGGAAACGACATCCAGCTCATCAACGACACCAAAGGAGTTAGAACGAGCAGAAGAGTGCTGCGGTTCTGTGTTTTGGCCACAGGTGGAAGTTTCATTTGAAAACTCTTTAATCAACATTGTTTTTAATCAACCTCTTTAAGTTTGATTAAAGCCAGCATTGTGGTTCTTCCACAGTCTAAATTCATACAGATGTCATTGAACATTCTGACGGGGACAGTTTTTGTAATGTGGGGAAGACAGTCTGACTGGCAGAAGCAGCAGGTTGTTTGGAAGGTGTTTAGCTACTGAAAAAGGGAGGTTTGAGATAGGCTTTTAGCTCTGCAGTCTTTTTCTTTGTCATTAGTGGTTTGATAATTTCCATTTTTTGGGCTTCTTGGAAAGGAACTGACAGAGGAAGGTGTTTTTTATTATTAGAGTAAATCCAGATGTTATGACAAGCAGTGCTTTCTTAAGAAGGGCTGTGATTAAAACATTGTGGAGAAGGAGAATGAGCAGGAGAATGAGCTTAGCTGATGTATAATTTCTTCTGAGATATTTTTATTTTATTTCGTAAAATGGCAAAAATCTAGTCAAGCTAAATTCACTTGGAGATAAATTTTGAACCGGACTTGATATTGAAGGATACATTTCTCCAGCTCTAATATTTTGTTTTTTTAGTCAGGGGAGTAATTGCAGCCCCTGGTAGAGTGGAGCAGATGCTGCAGTCACAGTTTGGGACTTCACCTGAATTCAAAGTGCAGTTAGATCAAAGCTGCCTGTAAAGAAAAAAAAATAGTAGGCCCTGCTAATGTTTTGCACTTAATATTTGTTGTATCTATTTCATTAACAATACAGGTTTTATTCTGTGAATTTCAGAGTAATTTACTGTAGTAGTTTGTCTTTGTATATTCAGAATGAGTAAAGTTGCTCTTTTTAATCAAGGTTTATTATTTCATCAATTATACTTTGGTTTCCTTTCTAAAACTAATAACTTATTTCTTTACAGATATCCTTACTGCTCTGGAAGACACTTAAATCAGTAAAGGCTTAAAACTACAAACTGGATTTCTGGATTCCTCCTTCCAAGAGATGGCACGCTGATCTGCAACCCACTGAAGCAGAGCTTTGATCAACACTCCGTCTTTTCACTCCTTTTTTATTTCTTCTCTGACCACCCGTCCAACCGCCGTCACCATGTCTTCAAATACCACTGAATGCTACTATAATCAAAATGTCAGTTTTTTTTATGAACAGACCGGAAAGAACATAAGTGTCAATTGGCGGAAACGTGATTATGCAGTGGTCACTTTGGGCTTGACTGTTTGCTTCATAGTTATTTTTTCAAACCTTTTGGTAATAGCAGCCATTTTTAAAAACCGACGTTTTCACTTCCCCATCTACTACCTGCTGGGTAATCTGGCCCTCTCAGACCTCTTCTCAGGTAATACATTTTTAAATACTGTCATATGAATTAACTGAGTTTGTTAACCTTGTAAAATGTTCCTTTTACCTCAAAGGATGCTAATTGAATTTAAGCAAATGTCTGCATTACCTAAAAGCACTGCATCCTTTATTTGTTTATTTATCCACCTTATCTTATTTGTTTATAATCACATTATTTTAGGTTATTGAGAATAAAGGTTGTTCTATAGCTTGGGTAGAAAGAGCATGATCTTTAGTTTTGGCCTTTGTGTCTTCTCAACAACTGAAGAAGTTTCTTAAATTTAACATTAGTTATTGGTTTACTGTTTTGGATTATGTTTAGGAA